GAAATTTTTGGTAGAGTTTTTTTTTTTTAATTAAGATTTCAAAAAAAAAAATTAATTTCTTTCAAAACTCATAACCAAATAAAATTTTCAAAACTCAATTGAAAAAATCTTTTCAAAACTCTATTTATAAAAATAAAAAAAAAATCAAAAATAATAATTTTATATTTTGTTCTTCAAAATTATTATTTTTTAGTTTGGGTAAATTACAAATACACTACTTGAAATTTGCTTAAAGTACAGATTGTCCCCTGTGATTTGAAAAATTATAAATACCACCTTGTTAGTATTTTTTATTTAACAAATTAACTAAAAAAATGAAATTTATAATTGCTCTCCTATACAATAATAAAATATTTAAAAAAATAAAAAAAATTTGTATAAATTTAAAATATTTACAAAAATATTTAAAATAAGATAAAAAAAAATAAAAAATGGGTAAATTACAAATACACCCCCTAAGGTTTGCTTAAAGTACAGATTGGCTCTGTAGTTTGAAAAATTATAAATACCCTCTCCTTAAAAAAATTTATTTAACAGAATTAATTTTTTTAAAAAAAGAAATTCATAATTGCTCTCCTACACAATAATAAAATTTCCTAAATTATTAATTGAAATATATTTATAACATCATTAAAATTTGACTTGATGATTTATTAATAAAATGGGCGATTTATTATGAAATTAGAAATTTTAGGGGGTGAAATATAATTTCCAGAACTACAAGGGGCGATTTGTATTTTAATCAAACTTCAGAGGGTGTATTTATAATTTACCCAAAATATTTAAAATAAAATTTATATCTTTAAAATTTTGTAAATTTTTAAATATTTAAAAATATATTTTAAATATCTACAAATAAATAAAGCTCACAAATGTAGTAAATACAGCGCACATTAAAATAAATAAATAAATATTTACAATAAAAAATATTTACCCTAAAAAATAATCCTAAAACAAAACTCAATTTTTTTTTTCAAAACTCATAACCTTTTCTCTTTCAAAATTCATTTCAGAAACTAATTTTCAAAACATAACTCAAAACTCAAATAATAATTCAAAAATAAAACCAAATGGAATTTTGATCAGTTTTTTTATAATGTATGACCTGTTTCAATTTTAGTAGGCATAATGGGTGTTTATTCGGCCAAAGCATACTGGGCGGTCCTGGCCCTAACAAGGTTTAATGTGAAGCACAACTCGGCCTTGTTGGCTAATGAGAGGCAGCCATCTGGTTGACACACAGCCCAATAGAAAAAATATGTAGAAATAAAATTATACAAACTTTATTTTAAAAATTAAATATAAATAAGTTGGAGTTGAATTAAGAAGAAAATATATAGATTAGTTAGGTAGAGTATTGATTTCTTTTTGTAATATTCTTTTTGAATTATTCATACGTATTGTATATAGATATATAAAATTTAAACTAAATATAAATATTTTGTAATAAAAAGAATTTTATGTTAAATAGAAAACTCAATATAAATTAATTTTAAGATATTAATAAGGTAGGAAAAAAATAAAAAATATATTTAATATTTAATAGAAGAAAATGAATTCATAATGTGTTAATTTTATAAGTAATTCAGATTAAGTTGAATTCTTTTTTAGCATTAATTAAGTATAAGTGTACATTATTGTAGCATTTTTAAAAAGTACGAGAAAAAAATGATGCACCACATAGGAGAGAGAGAGAGGGGAAAAAAAAAAGTGGCCTTATTTGGCAAAGACTAAAATTCACAAAAAGATAAAATAGTGTAAAATAATCAATAAGATAAAATGTCATGTCAAACTCATAATCATTTCATTTTTTCTCTCACAAATATCACATCTAACTACAAAAAAAATACCCTCATCTTTCCGAACACACAAATTTTAACTTATTAAAATAGTTAAAAACTAAAATAATTTATAAAAATAGTCAACTTCTCCTAGTAAGAGATTGTTTGGGGTGTCCTAAATAAGTGCACTTTTTGTCTTTTTGGACTAAAAAATTGAGGTTGAAAATATAGATGTTTAGGTTACCTTTTTGACTTTTTATGGAAAAATGTGTAATAAAAAATTGTAAAAATTGATTTGTAAGGAAAAATTCGAATTGGGAGTTGTGCATCCGTAATTGTTGACTTTTGGTGAATAGTGTTAACTTTTTAACTTTTTAAATAACTTTTTGTCTTTTTATCTTTTTTTGAAAGATCCCAAACTTACCCTAGAGAAGAGAGAGATATCACATAGGAAAAAGAAAAAAAAAAATTGAAGATAAACACTATTTTTAAACTATTTTTTTTTTCAATTTTTTCATTTTTTTGAATATCTAGAGTTCCTAATTGAAAGAAAAATTTGAAACACTTGGCATTTTAACATTTCTGTGTAATATGGCACGAGAGTATGTTTTTTTTTTTTTTGAGGGGGTATAGTATTCTATGTTGTATTTCAAAAAATACTGGTTAATGTATATATGTGTGTATTACTTTAGTTGTCTTCATGAAAAAAAATGTATTAAACTTACAAGTATTTAACTTAACACAAGTATTTAACATTATTTGTTTTGCTTTGAATCAAATTCACCAAGTATTTAACTTAACCCACAAAAATGTATTCAACATTTTATTATAAAAAAATAAAAATAAAAATTGTACCATTCAAATATAATATATTTGTTGTGTGATTCTAAAAAGAAAGTGATTGTTTTTTTTTTCATTTAATTTTTTTTTTTTTTTGAAAGACTTGGCATTTTAACATTTATGTGTAATATGGCAAGAGATTTATGTTCTTTTTTTTTTCACATTTTTAAGGGAGTATAATATTTTATGTTGCATTTCAAAAATTCAGGTCAATGCATATGTGTGTATTACTTTAGTTGCTTGATGAAATAATTATTCATTATTGCTTATAAAATAGTTTTCTTATGTGGTGAATTTTTTTTTTGGCATAAATTTATGTTTGGACTTTCCAAATCATAAAATGGTGAACTTCAAAATATTTATGATTATAATGTGTTTTAATTTTGGTTTTAATTTCATCTCTATAAAATTGAAGTCAGTTAAGAAAGAGAAAAGTTCAAATTCGGACAATTATTGTGCTCGAGTTTTAATTTATCATTTTAATTTTAATGTGATTGTTAAAAAACATCTATTCTAAATGCTGGGTTGACTCAGAAAATGTGAGTTTGATTATGGGTTTCGCAAAGAATGTAGAGAGACAGAGGGGGAGAGGGAAGGGACTGTTTGTTTGGAGCTATTTAAAAAGAAAGTAAGGGTGATTTATTTAGTTGATCTTCCTGCAACAAAAAAATTAAACTAACACTCAGAAAAATTTATTTAACATTTTATTTGCTGTGTAATATATTTATTTAGTTGTACCATTCAAATGTAATATTTATTTGCTGTGTGATTCTAATGTACAGATGATAAATATTTTTCATTTAATTATTTTGTGAATATCTACAGTTCCTAATTAAAAGAAAAATATGAAAGACTTGGAATTTTAACATTTATGTGTAATATGGCAAGAGAGTTTATTTATTTTTATTTTTAAAGGGAATATAATATTCTATGTTGTATCCTTATGTGTGTGCGTATTACTTTAGTTGTCTTCATGAAAAAAAAATATATTAAACTTACAAGTATTTAACTTAACGCAAGCATTTAACATAATCCGTTTTGTTTTTAATCAAATTCACCGAGTATTTAACTTAATCCAAAAAAATGTATTTAACATTTTGTTATAAAAAATAAAAAAAAAAATTTGTACCATTCTAAACAGAGAAGGCACGTGCCTGTGATATCTGTTGACCTTTTTCTTTTTCTTAGAAGTTTATATTTTTATTTAAAGCATTTCCTCTTGATTGTAACCCGTTAAGTATTTTCTATTCATGGCATTTATTTTATTTAAATAAAATTTTGTATTTTATTATTCGATTTGGTAACAACAGATTTGGAAATAACATTTCATTGCCAGTGAAATCCATATTAACTTTTATTATTGCTAATTTTTTGTTTCTTGGTGTTTAAAATTATATAACCAAACATTTTTAGGTTGAAGTACAACAGTTATGAACAATATTACTATTTTTGGTCAAGTAAGTTTTTTTTCTTCTTTTTTCTCTTCATATAAATTTAAGTACCTCTCTTATAAATTTAAGTACCTCTCTTATAAATTTAATTTGCCGACGATTTGTTTGTTGCTAAAGCTTTACTTTTGGCAACGACAAATTGACATTGGGAAAAAATACACTTCTACCAACGCAATATGATTGGGCAAAAGTAACTTTTAGCGACACATTTACGTCGGTAAATGTTACCATTTGCCAACGATTTGATTGTCGATAAAGCTTTAGTTTTGACGACGACAAATTGACATTGGCAAAAAATACACTTTTAACAACACAATATGAGTAGATAAAAATAAACTTTTGGCTACACATTTACCGACAAATTGTTTGTCGAGAAAGCTTTACTTTTTGGCAACGACAAATTTGTAGCGGCAAAAAAAATTGAAAATCACATATATTTTTTTATAAGATTTACATATTTACAAGAGGCATCCCTCAGGCACTGCTATTACAAACTAATAGCATTGATATTAAATCACCTAAAGTTGATGTGTATGCAAAAAAAACACTACTGAAAAATATGCTTTTGGAAGCGTTGTATAAAACCTAAAAGGGTAAACTCACTAAAATACTCAAATACATCCAAATTGTGAACCCATAGTAAAAATAGCAGATAACAAAATGAAAACATGAAACTAACAACAACCCAAATTTGCAGCAGACCAGCATCTAGTAGCAGCCCGCTTCACAACAACATTGCAGCAGCAGCAGCCTAGCAAAATTCTGCAGCAACACACCGACAGCAACAGCAGCAGACCAGTTTTAACTTGAGACCTTCGTTGTAACATCCTACATTTGCTAATATTTTGTTGGGAAACATAAAAGCTAGAGTAGTCCAAATAATTTTTTAAAAAAATCGCATGACGTGCACATTTACAAAGAATTTTACCTTTTCTCCTTCTCAATTAGGGTCCAAAAGTGGCTTCTGCTCAGAAGCTGGCAAAGCAAGCGCACCATTCCAAATTTTTCGCCACAAATTCCCATGCTCAGACATTCCCTTTGAAAGTCATCCTCGAGGAGGCCAATTGTTTTTTAACGATTCCATTGCATCATTTGTAGACACTTCTCCACTCTCTTCGAAGTCATCATTCTCCCAATCTCTAGGTGAATGCCAGTGGATAAAATCTTCAAATACAGCAGCTAGATTTGCTGCTTTGAATGCTGACATGTCTGATTCAGATTTTCACAAACATCTAGCACCAAATTAATTTTGAAAGGAAATTAATAATGGGTTATGTATTTAAAACATTCTTTTTTTTAATAGGAAAGACATGCAAGTTCACATATGATATGATCCATAAATCCATAGCTATGAATGACGAATCTAAAAAAAAAAGAACCATACAGCTGGAAAAATGCAAAAAAGATTTAACAGTAAAACAAATTCATGTTATGAAAACAGGAGAAAAAATTTGCACATGTTCTCAAATTTTCCGTGAAACAAAAACCAAATGCAGCAAAACAAAACGAAGCTTCAGGTCATGTTTAACAAGGCTGAGAAATAGTAAAACAATCTCATTCTGTAAAAGGGGAAAAAACATAAATATTTGAAATGCTATTGAGGGTATGCTCATGTTTTAACTGAATTATGCCCCTTAAACAAGCAGAATGGCAAAACAGGATTCTTGTAGCTGACCCCCAAGTAGTTGGGACAAGACTTTGAAGAGTTTAGTCAGCATTACATGGATTTTTTTAATTTAATTTGTTACACTAAAAAAAAGGTATTTTCCGAATATGTTTTATTTTTTGCCAGCCGAATTTGTAGACGGAAAAGTATGTATGTTCTGTGATCATTTGTGGTTTTTGTTATATGGGCACCAAATGTTACGTTATGTTTGTGCATAAGTTCATGGATTTTTCAGTTTTTACTATAAGACTCTTTAACAAATGTTAAATTACTGGTTTTGGGATTCATCCAATACATTTTGAATCTAATCTGTGCCTTTTGGCACTAGGATGTAACCTTCAACCTTGAATCTCCAGTTTTTGTCATCTTCACACCACCCCTAAAATAGCACCTCAGATCAACATCATCTAGAACATTGATTTCAGCTTTTATAAATATGTCCAGGCTTTATGTATGCCACACTCTTTTCATAATTATGATATTTTTGTTGTTTCAGGTCACTTTGGTCAAGTTCCAATTTTCTCAATTCCATCCCTGAAGTTTCCAATTTCAGTCAACATGATCCGTTTGAAATGGGCCATCTAAATCATCTATGTAACTGTTCCATTCAATGTCATTTAGTTCCCAAAAACCAAGCCACCATCACAATAAATCTACCATATCAAAATCTACCCGTAATTTTATTCCTTAAGAACTAAATCCAAACCCTCAAGACACTTCTCCAACATTCCCTCATTTGCCTGAACAAAGTCTAAAAATCCAAATCTTAAGTTGAACAATCAATCAGATATCATTCTGGCCAACTAGGAGTTAAGGTAAACATAGAGTTAAAGAAACAATCCTCTACTGTCCTATCAATGTACTGCACACACAAATAAAATAATTACCCGATTATGTATTAAATTCATAGGGGGAGATGTGGATCCACAGGGTTAAGAGTGAGGGAAGACAGGTGGGAGACACAAAAGGGGAAGGAGTTTCAGATAGTGAGAAAGAGAGATAAATGAGTGAGTGAGCCATACGTGCTTTGATGGAGGGTCTCATCTAATAAAAAACTGATATTAGATTTAGGGACAACATAGGGGCAGGGAATGTCTATCGATAGGACTATATGAGAATATAATATAAAGGTTTCTGGTTGGTTAATGAGCACATTAATAAATTCTTAACTGCCAGTCAACTGACCCACACAATTTTCTCACCTAACCTGCCCTTCCCACTCCAATCACACTCTCAAACTGTGCAGCTGACAAATTTTTTGCATTCCTAATGTGACTAGTAGTGAGCTATGGAGCTTTACTTTCTTAGTCTTCAGCATCCACTGAAGTTTTTGGTTTACATTTACCAACTTCAGAGAGAACAAAATTAGTTGCCTTAGCAAAAGCCTAAGAGGTTGAATTTTTTAGTACGATGTTGAAATCACTACTCCAGTTGTATTAGCCATGGCAGGGACGTTGTCAATCAAAGCAAAGGAACAAGGCTTTGATTGAGACTTTGATATTGTACCTTTGGAGAGAACGGTATCGGCAAACTTTTGAGGATGTACAGATGGACGTAAACAGATTGAAGATAACACTAGATATTTTTCATTTTTGGCTATAAGGGAAGATTTGTAATTCTTTTTTTGCTTTTATTGACTTTTTAGAAGAGCTTTATTTTGTCGAAAATAGTTTTGCTTTGTACCCCATAGCTGCTTTTTCAATATCTTACAGTCTTACTTATCAAATAAATAATTATGGCTTCTACTTCTTTATTGGAAAGAGTAAAACGAGCAGAAGTAAAAAATGAGCTTATTACCTGAAGATAATATATCTCTCTCCAACTGAGCAGAGAAGTTCTGTACAAAATGGTAGACAATATTTTCTCAGTTGATATCAATGCACTCTTCAAATTTACAGACCTCTATCTACCATGCAACACTTGAATAGGGAAGTTATCTAAAATGCAAAATGAATGTCAAAATAGTTTTCCCACAAGCAATGAGCAACTAACTAAATTAAACTTGTCAAATAAAAAAGGAGTTTCTTAGAGTCTTCTCATTTTTTAGGGCTTCCAGACTTTCATGATCCAAAAATGAAATGTTTAAATCAAAGTTAATAGCAAGTGAACTGGTACCACTTTACTTGAATTGAAGTTGATGCAAGTGGAGTGGTAACCACTTTATCAAAACATCTAAGATGCAACCATTCAAATATACTTTGAGATAATTAGTGATAGTCATAATATCAACATGTACATGTATATGCATATCAATAGCATTCCCACAATGGCCATCTTCACCAGAGTCATAATGCATATGACGAAGAGTTTAAGCTTACAAATGAAGAACCCAAGGCTTCTACAGCATTGAGTCGTTCTTCATGCATGTCTTCTGTCATAAGTGGTGCATCCTATAACAAGTATGGAGAACAAGTCAAGATTGTTTCTATTGAAAATTCTAGGGAAAAAAAAAAAAACTGTTAAATAATCTTACTCTACTGAAGCTTAAACAACCTGCGTAAATGGAACATGCAAGTTCTGGTCTGATTTTAGAAGCATCATACCCACAACACCAGCTGATCCCTTCCTGATACAATCTGAAGGCCTTAAATCAGAAGATGTCACAACATCCTGGGCCTCAGAATTCATCCTCAATACAGAAGTTTCAGGATGACATGAATCATCTGACATTCAGCCACTGCATAGTGAGCACAAAGAGTATGAGTGAATCACATGAATGGGATATAAAAAAGGGCAATCAGCAGAAAGTCCAAAATTAATGTAATCCTATCATATCTATTTAGTGCAAAGTTATCTTGTAAGTTCACTACTTTGGTAAGCAATTATTAGTAATAAACACTTAAAAAGAACTAGTACCATATGGGCACTAGACAGCCATTTACTGCATGTAATTTTCATGTTTAGGGTTCAAGCCTTAATAGCGCAAAACACACCTATTGATTGCTAACTTTAACAGTCAGCATCAGTAGAAAATTGCAACTACCCTAAGAATATTCTCTCTACGATTTCCATAATAGAAGTTGTGTATAGTCCTCAGCAAACTTTACTTTCAGTTCATGCAATGGTTCTATACTACTGATCTTATAAGCGATCCACAACAACTTAAACTACATACAAGATATGCCACTATAATATTATCTAATGGAGCCAACATCTCTTGCAATAATATACACTACAGAAGAAGATAGGCAAAAAATGAAATTTTGAAACTCCATTTACAATATACGTTTCCATACTATTTGTGGAATACTTTCATCGAGAAAAATACCCACTCCAACAAATCAACAAAGAATCTCTCCGAGGAGAGGAGCAGTGATAGGCATAATTTTTCTACCCACCTCCACAAAGGAAAGCACCAATTACGAAAAACCTGATACGACATAAGAAACTTTGCAATTTTTTCCTTAAGGAGTTCTCAAGGTAAACATCTAACAAACATACTTCCGACCAATAAGCAGATTTAATTATTCCAACATTGGAACAGACGGAATACTTTTTGTGTCAGAATGATTAACGTTTCATTCTCACTTTTAAAATGAAGAGAAAACACAATAGAAAGAACCGATTATTAACAGGAAATAGCTATTCACACTAACCAGCACAACATCAAGTGATTGAAAATATGTTATTGTATTTATGTATCACCCACAGAGTCCTTTCCCTACCAATCTTAGCCTTGTCATGTGACAGAATTCTGTCTCTATTGTCCGCGAGAGCAAAATCTCTCACATGTGCCAATCAATCTCGAGATAATATGAGATAAAGTCTCCACTTCGAGCTGCAACACAAGGCTCCCTGTAGTTAAACTTTATGCGATGTACCGATAGTGATATCTCGATACAAGAACACAAAGGCAAATATAGAAGAAAATCGTCACCGTTTAACCCTGTTGAGATCTCCTAACAATTATAAGGAGTACATTAGAGGTTTGAGAATTATTTGACAGGGCTAATAGTGCATCTAAAATAGTGAGTACCACAACCATCTCATTTCCTTGAGGAGGATGGCACGGAAACATAATTTTCATTATTAACCTCATCTTGCAAAACTTTTGAGTTTAGTGACGATTCTTATCAATGCATATTGCAAGTTGAACCAATGGAATGGCAAAGAAATACATTATGGTCACTACTCCGTATCCAATCCACAAAATCTTAAATGGATAAAGCCACCAAACCTAGGGAGGCAAATAAGAAAGAAAGAAACATAAAAAGATGCTTAAGAAAACTTTCTCAAGCTCTGTCCACGAACTTGAGAGATATTGCCACACATAGTCTAGTTTTCTATAATACATATTCCATCCCATTCGGTCAAGAAACCTTCATACCAAACACTGGCACCACTCTACCTAAAGTCTCCTCTTTCTGCCTAACCCAAGCTAGAGACATACATAGACCTATTAGTTGATTTACAAGTGCAAGTCACCTACAACATAATACTCAACTCAATTCCTTATCGTATCAATTAATTTAAATAAGACTACAGAAAAAGAAAAGACTCCTATCAGAAACTCGATATCAAAGCAAAACAAGGTCCTCCGTATACACAAGATCTTTATTCTGTGAAAGTGTTATGATGGATTCCTATAATAATTTCACACATTTATAGAGTTGAGACCAGTAGCAAGAAAATAGCCCTTCCTCAACCATATATGCTCTTCAAATTCCTTTAATACAAAGCCATGATACCCAACAGGTTTTCTATGTGTCTTCCTGATTGCAGACATGAAGCATAGATTAAAAGACGGAGAAATGGAAATTGCTTGGCAATAGCATCAAGACAAAGAATAGTACCTCCATTCAAGCCATTTGGCAACATGGTGAACAGGGGATACCTTGGTTATTTGTACACCACAATGTAGAGAAGCAAGTCTTGGGTTCGCACTGGTTCGTGATAACATGGCAAATGAGACAAAATTATTTTAAGTCAGCGCAGACATGGTGCATGCACAGATAACTTTGAGTTGAGTGTAATACCATCAAACATAGAAAAGAGATGATTCATAAAATACCATATGTAGAAACGTGAGCTTTTACTAACGCTCATTACGAAGGAAACTTCCGCACATTAATTTGCCACACATAACACAATTAAAACAGTGTCAGATCAGTGAGACACATCGACCAATAACACATACAATGGAGCGTCTCTTTAACATTATTTAGGAGAAAGGGATGCTATAACATAAATTCCTATCCATTAATCAAGTCTCAATAGTAACGGAAAAAATTGGAAATCAACATATGTACCGCCAGTGAATTCCCTGTATATTGCGATCCCCACGTAATAGCTTAGGAAACTGAGTAACAGCATTGAAGGTCAGTAGCATTTATGGATGGGTAAAACGTAATTAGCATCGACTGGCTAGTATCATGCATATTGATCATGACACAATGAGCTACAATGTCTATATAAAAATACCCCAACTATTAAACCAGTTCTGCAGGCTCTGAGAGAGAATCATCATGAAAGAAGATTCATAGCAGCCCCTACCAACCCAACTGATTAAGTGGGACATTCACCACTAAATAAGAAGGTTAAGGTTCTTTGTTATTTGTTCAAGAACACTAATCTTAGTCTATTATCGTCTACCAAATGAAGGGTTTTAATTATTATATTATCAATATCACAATTCAAATACCTATATTAGGAGTATCTTGAATTTAAGAGCTTGAATTCACTCCAAAGTATGCACCAAATAATACACCATTTTTCTACGCTGGGGTGTTCAGCCATCTGTACTCATCCTCTCGAGATCTTCATCCAAACAGAATAACCACTTGGGACAATAAAAAATTCAGAGGGGAGAGCTATCTTGAGCAAGTTTTGTGTCCACACAAACATTCACCCTGCCACGAAGATTAATACTGCCTCATTATGTACTCACAGTCCAAAAACACGGACCTAACAAAAATGAGAACTTAAAAGCAATATGTATAACAAAAATCAGAAGATTGATAAGCCCATATACTGCATTAAATGGTAATACGAAACCAAATCTAACTTTGTTCATTCTCACAACACCATTGATTGATAAGTTGAGCTCCACCTGTAATGGAGACTAAGAGACATTCATGGCAAGTAATCTAATATAGCAATACCCTCATCTAAGAGCAAAATCTTGCAGTATATACTACACTCGTAGAGTTTATGAGCAAACTTCTAATGCCAATTAAAATGAATTATATTTCCGATGCATTCAGCACCTTTTCAGGTATTCATGTCTCTGCATTAATGAGAGGGTTCGTTCAGTAACCACTTAACTGAGAAAACCCCAAGTTAATGTGAAACCAAATCTATATTCAAATCTAAACAAATTCCAAATATTTCCAATTGTCCTACATTCTGATTCAAGCTGTTATGTAGTGGAAGTGGAAGACCCAAAGTCGTGTCCTTCGACATAACCCATCAATTCCACCAAGCATAAATGTCCAGAATGCCACAGGAACTACCCTATTAACTATTTCCTCTAAATAACGAATGTTACTAATTCACCATGTGTAGTTTCTGGGTTGACCAATACAAGTTGACCAGTCAATCACATCCGAAAAAGCCTTCTCCTTTTGTATATTCACATAATCCGCATGGCTACTATGTGAATTACCTTTCATGAATACCCACAGCAAATCGAAACACAATCACCATTTAGGTTTGTCTAGAAAGTTAGTGGCATTTTTAGCAACAACAAAGAATGTCAACCACTCAGCGAATCACTAGCTCAAACAACAGAAGGTAAAGTTTAGTGAGTAACACTTCGCACACTTGAAAGACCATGATGTCTACAAAAATTGAAATCCTAAATATTCACCAAGCGTACCAAGAAAATAGCTAATCAAACCATAAAGAAAAGAAGCTTAGGCGTCAAATAGATGGGGTGATCATTCGCGCGTGAAAATGGCTCTAAATGACAAAAACACAAAATCCCACATGTTAAGAATGAATATAAATTCTTATTTCTTCAAAGCACCAGTAGTTCACGTCATCCACAACAGGAATCATTACCACTTTGAGACATTAGAATACACTACACATCACTATTGTTCAAGCATTGCCCAACCTATAGTGGCAGATGATAAAGCACAAACACCTGGCGCACCACAAAGTGAGTCCAAAAGTGTGCCTCCATTAAGTAGTTCAGCGTCGTAATAATCTCTATATCTCTCAAGTGAAATCAAGAGTGAGGGAGCCTGCAACTCGATACGTCTCAAGTTGCGAGGAGAGAGAGACATATATTGCATACATAAAAGAATACTAATAGAATTAACAACCACATCAACCCACACGTCATAGCTATCTCACCACATTCTAGATATTTTCAACGCATACCAAGAACAAAGTTAACATTAGTGAAACCTATCCATGCACTCAAATCTCATAAATCCAAATCCTCGCAAAGAAGTGTAGCATATATTTCACCAATTGCATTTATACAATTCCTTACCAGGTTTCTCAATTCTTTAATAACCGTCCTCATCACACTACTGAACTACAGCCTCCACCCTTTTCGTGAGAGAGTGAAATCTAACATACGCTCACAAATGTCAAACTCATGTACACACCCCATGCACAACTAGTCATGTCAAGAGACCCCATCCCGCAAAATGGTAATCCCCATTGTAAGACAATTGAATATAGTG